TGCAGCCCAGATTGTAATTTGTATATCTCTGCAGAAATCCCCTAAAGTGTTATTATACATGTGAGCTTACTTGGTTGGAGGCTTGAGCTTCTTCTTCAGGCCCAGGTAACATTTCACACACTTGAGCTGGATCGCTTTCTCTGCTTTCGTGCTCTGCAGATAACAAACAAAAAGAAAAAAAAAAAAAACATCATCGGACTTTAATTTATAGACAAAACTGAGATGTACCTCTTCTTTCAACCAACAAAGAACAAAGTAGAAGGGAACAAAGTGAACCAAATCAAAGTTACACCCACGCATCACAACCCAACACCCATCCCCTGTTTCATCTAACATCGTTTCCACTAAATACAGACCTGGCAATAATTGCAGAGGCCAAGGAATATCAATTAAATTGCAGTAACACTTCTAATTTCCCTTGCATTTATGCAGTAATTAGCCACATTCTTGTGCAACCTGATACTTAGAAAAGCTTTCAGCGAAAGTCCCCTCTCCCAACCTCTATCTATTTTCCCTCCCACCTACAGCCCCCACCCGTCTGCCAGAATTACTGCACCTCCATCAATTATTAACACTTCTTCACACTCCTTTACGAATCCCATGTTTCAACTGCGAGAAATGCGCGGAGAAGAAAACCCCTTCAGGGAATTCGGTCCTGCTGGTCCTTTCTGAAGCACTCGGCATATTCTTCCTTTTCTTTTTTTTTGAGTGGGAAGTCCGCAGTATGTTTGGAAATTTTGGAACCTTGAGGCCGACACATCGCCAGGGAGATGAAGCAGATTGAGACTAGGCGAGGTTTCGGTCTATTTGGTTGCAGTTATGCAGGATCCGTTCTATCACATTCTGGTTTACTTAAGCGGCTCCGTAACCTTTTTAATTCCCTTGGCAGACGAGGCGCTCTGTGTTCACCTAAGACTTTGTGTTTGCATGGTGGCGAGTGTTGACTGTGAACACGACAGTAGATGAAGCCAAAACTAAAAGTATACTTACTTTGATATCTCTGTAGAGCAGCAGCTTTTCTGCACGTAGTATGACATACTTGTCCTGAAATTTGTGCCCTGAAAGCAGTTTGGAGGATCCGTCGCTGAACTTCAGATAGTCGCTTTTGATAAACTGTCCTTGGTCTGTCGTAAAAAAAATTACAACATTGCATTGTAAGACATTGCAGATGAAAAGAGCTATTGGTTTGTTCCATATCTGGTGATCACGACTTAGAAAACAGATCAATTCATCACAAACAGGTCAGTTTGCTTACATAGTCTGACCATTTAAGTGGCGGATGATGGACATTTGGTCGTATCCATTACTTTTCGCAATCTATTTTCACTATATATCCATTATTTTTTTTACTATTTTACCATTTATGTACTATTTTTAGTTTTATTTAGACATTACTTTGAGCAATGACTGTTTTTTTAATTGTTGAATAACCAATTCAACTTCTAGCTATTCATTTGCACCACATACCAGGAACGACAGCAAATTATGGTGTCATGAAATGTGTTTTTCATTATATCTTTCCGTAGTTACTATAATGACAACAGAGGTTCTATACATAGTTGACATCTCACCTGTCTGAAGTAAAGAAAAGTGTACAATGCCATCAGATCCTGGCCAATTATGTCTCCATGTCGGGGATAATTTAGGATTATAAGTCATTTGTTACCACTGGGGTGCAACTTTCTTGCTTTGGAGATGCTCATATGGATCCTGTTGCTGTTACTTTCAACATTTATCCATCATTTTTATTTGTCTTTTAGCCGACATTTGTTGGCTAGTTTCTGCTACCAATTTCAGTGGGTTTTTACTACATTTAGCTAAACATTTTCAAGCTAACGGCAGCTATTTCACCATTTAACATTCCCTTTTAGCTCCAAGGAACTATAATATTTATACATTACTTAAGGTCATGACATTTATCCAATAATATTAGCTAACAATTCAAGCACTTATCCATTAATACTTTAAGCTAACGGCAACTATAGCAACTATACATTAGCTTTAGCTATAACTACGTGTCATTTAGTTAAACGTAATCCTAATTTTTCGTTTAGCTATCAATTTCCATTTAATATCCATTTTTCCGTAACCATTTTCGCAAACTGTGTTGCTATTTATCCAATACTTTCTAGCTGCATATATAACGTTTATGTATTACATGTACCTGTTGCTAACTATTTGCTAGCTTTTAGCTAATTATACCTATTTCGACATTTGTTTGATTAGTTGCGTGTTGTACCAATATGGGAATATAGTCTCTATGATAAACCGCTACTTAGTATTTGTACTATTAGGAGTAGAATTTGCTTGGGTGTGATTGGTATAGACAACTACGGAAGAGGATTAGGGTCACTGAAGAAAACAATTATAAAATTCTGAGAAAAAAAGTCAAAATTCTGACTTTTTTTCAGAAATTGAAAAAAAAAATATCCCAGAATTTTATTTTTTTTTTTAATGTTCTGGGAAAAAAGTCAGAATTCTGACTTTTTTCAGATTGAAAAAAAAAAAAAAATCTCCCAGAATTTTTTTTTTCTCACAATTTTATTATTTTTTTCTTCAGTGGCCCTAATCCTTCCGTAGATAACTATCAATAATTCAAAAAAATAATAATAATAATACATTTTTGAATAATTTTAAATAATTTTGTTGCAGTCCTTCAATAAATAATGACATTCAACTGGTATGTGTGCAACATAGCATACATGCTTTTTTCTGTTTTTTTTTTTGTAAACCATTTACAGCCACACTTTACCTTTCCCATCAGCCATTCTTTTGGCCCCTGCAAACTTCTTTATAACAAGAAAAGCAGAGCTCGGGCAGTCCAAGGAGCTCCACTCCAACACCTGCTCAAGAATCTTCTCACTGTGGTGCAACGGTCGCTCTGTTAGAAAATAAAAGGCCTTGAGTCAGACAAGGAGAAATCATTTAAAAAAGCTAAAAGTGGTTGGAAATGGCAGCGGTTAATGGTCAAAAAAGTCAACAACAAAAAACCCATTTTGTCCCCAAAACCACATCATAACTAATTCCAGTTAACCAAATAACAAAGATGATGCTGTTGTTTCCTCCCTTTTTTTTCATCACAGAACAGTTTAAATTATCAACAGCATATCAGCACCTGATTATAAAAACACACTCATGTGCAAAATAGACCTATTATCTCTTCCTAATTGGCGAGCAGTGTACATGTTATCAGGGAAAAAAAAAGCAGATAATTTGTGTACCACCACTCCTGCTCTGATGCCTTCATCTCTACACTCCCCCTGTTTTTCATAACCGAAGGAGGTAAGAAAGAGCCACAATGGCATCACTTATTCATAACAGTGGGCTTATCTTCTCTCTGGAATCTATGCAGACCCAGGCCATGGAATTAGTTCCTCATTTCCCAACAAATATTAGCTCCCTTTTTCTGCCTATTGTCCTCGATAACGGTGTTTATCTGTAGCTATCCTCCCAAAATGGCTAATTAACGCATTCTCCCTCCTTCCTTTATGGTTTTACCAGCGAAACCTGTCACGCTACCGCCTTCAAAATAGCTCGTCTGTTTATTCTTTCACAGACATATTGTTTTGGCATGGAAAATATGCTGAACCGTCAGCAAATATATTCAGTATTCAACACACCTTCATTTTTAGAAGAGGACGCCGTGTCCTCTGTAACTTTGCGAGGAGAAAAACAAACATAAGAGCGAGGTGTAAACTCTCAGTGAACTGATGAAAAAGTGCACGGGGACCGCCAGCTAAGCAACTTGGCGACAAAGCTCAACTTTGACTTCCCCTTGCTCGCCGCTTGCCGCCGCGTGATCAAATGCAGGTGCGGCAGGCACGAGGCGCCGCCAGCGCATTTTTTAATGCAAAGACGAGGCGGGTCAGCTCTCTAGGTTGATCATGCAAGAGAGATGAAGGTAATTTATGACATATGATGGCAAAGATGATTAATTAATGTGCATATCATCAAACCGACGACGCTCGGCTAATTTCTCAGTGTGCCGCCGCCGCCGCGTTCACAGACACTGGTTCATTAGAGAGATAGCATAATCTTCTAATCACAAGGTCTTTGGATGTGGGGGAAAGTGTGATCATTGCATATGCCCTGAATGAGAATAGCCACATGAATGGTGATGTGACACTAATTGGATGTACAACAGACGACAGCTGAAAGTTTCGAGCCGAGACTTTTGCAACTACGAGATGTCATATTTCACAGCGGGGCTAAACTTTTCATTTCAAATCCAGTCCACATTCCAGCGTGTTCCAGTTGTTGTGATGCAAACAGGTGGGCGATGATAAGAATTTGTTCCCGGCATGTGTTCACGCAGGAGTCAGGAAAGAAATGAGAAATTAAAAGCTTAATTTGAAGGAGAAAAAAAACGGAAATTGCACATCAAGATGATAGCTACGATATGCGCAAAATACCGCCTGAGTATACATAAGAGCCACGTTATTAAAAGAGACAACAGACTCCAGCGGCAAAAAAAAAAAAAGGAAGCATCACATCAGCGCATAGAAACATAATCACATTTGTCAGGCCTTTGTGAACGTAGCACTTCAATTAATGAGTAAATGACTTCTTGACCCTTCAATCTAACAAAAAGAAGAAAAAAAAAAAGGAGTATTTGTTACTAAAATAAAAAGTGCCTTTTCACTTGAATTGAATTAAATGGGCTCCAAGAAGCGGTAATTAGCGAAGAGGGTTATTGTGTAAGCTGGAATTATCGGAGGTAAAGAAAAACACGTTGGCTTTTTACAGCCAATTTCAATGTTGATTAAACGGCATGATAATGGAGCGGAGTTTAGGTTCGGGGAGGAGGAGGCACGTGCACTCAGCAGTAAAACAGCAGGAAGTGACAGTAATTAATAGGAAAAAGGGGAAATATGCTGCAGTTTTAGCAAACGGACGCCGGTGGGAAAAATAAAACGCTTCTAAAGGCGCGTTTTGGAGACGGTGTGAGGTCGATGCAAACATTTATTAAAGGTAGAATGTCATCGGAGGTGTTGTAAATAATATAAAATAGTAGATTATTATCTCTTTCAGCACTGTTGCATCGCAGCAAGAAGGTCGCCGGTTCGCCTCCCGGTGGGGACACCCGGAATCTTTCTGCGTGGAGTTTGCATGTTCTCCTCATGCAGCGTGGGTTCTCTCCGGGTTCTTCCTCCCACACAGTCCAAAAACATGCTGAGGTTAATTGGTGATTCTAAATTGTCCGTAGGTGTGAATGTGAGTGTGCTTGGTTGTCTGTCTCTAAGTGTAGCCCTGTGATGGACTGGTGACCTGTCCAGGAGATAGACTCCAACCCCCCCAAGACCCTAGTGAGGATTAAGCGGTGTATAGATAATGGATGGATGGATGGATGGATGGATGGATGGACGGACGGAAGGAAGTTTGGTGCTGTGAAGTGATACTGAGCTTGTGACTTGCATGGCAAATCAGGCCAGCGTTAGCGTGCTAGTTGGCCTGTTGCACATGTTCTAATTCGCAATGAAAATAAGTAGATTCACGCTACATTTTTTTGTTTGTTTGTTTTTCACATTGTAAATGCTCAATAGTGTCCTTGCCTTTTACCCAGTTAATAAAAACAAAATAAATACTTTTTTTTCCAGATTTTTTTTTCAAATTGAGTTATGAACACTTCACTGTTTATTCATTTTATCTGAATAAATAAATAAATGATTGTTTGTTTAGGTCTTCAGCCTGTTATAAGTCAACACACAGGCTTTTATTTTGAAAAAATATCGGCTAGCATTTCTTAGCAAGTGTTGCTAGCATGTCCACAGTATCAAAACTATTGTTACTGTACTACTATACTGACTTTCATGTTAGCGTTTGACTTCTTTCTAACAAGTGGAACGCTACAGATTATTGCTAAAAAATATCGTGAGCCTTTTATTTTCTAAAAAACATCCTCCTGTACTTCCTCTTCAGCTTTGGAATTTTCTCGAGGAAGGTCAACAGTTATTTTGCTCTCTGAACTACATGTGAATGAACTAAACAACACATTTTAACAAAGCTCATGTTGCTCTTTTTTTGTGAAATTGCTAAACTGGGAAGAAACATGTCGAAGTTGTGACACCCTGTGGCTGTTTTATTTCTCTTCTGGTGCAGGTCTGCATGCTTACAACTATTATTTTGCTCTTTTTTTTGATAGAGAATACATTACACTAGCGTAATTAGCTTTCACATTTAGTGTTTTGTTTATTCCTTCTTGTGATGTTAGCGTGTTTGTGTTCTTTTGCTTGGACGTTTTACCCAGAAAGATGCTGAGATCACATACATGAGAGAAACCCTGTGAATCGTTTTTTCTCTGCAGATGCTGAGAGAACGCACGGCAGAAGAAATCCTGCACTCCGCAATGCTTGTTACTGCGGCTGTGGGTGGCAAATAAAGTGCTCGGCAACATTTCTGGCAAGTGTGTCTTTCTTCCATTACGCTACCCCACACCCACCGCATCGGCTCTGCATCCACTCAGTGACCCCGGGACTGCGATTGTTGGTAGATAATTACACATCATGAGAATTAGCGAGTCGAATGAGTCCAGTCGGGTTGTGCTGGAAGCTGGAACGGAAAATCTACCTAACTCTCCGTTTTCGATGACTTCGAAGGTGGTCCAGAAGTCGTCCGCGGTGAAGGCGACGTTCCTCATGCTCAGCGCCGTTTCTGCGAGCTCGGTGGGCCGCATGCTGGGAGAGACCTACGGAAACAGAGCGAATAATAAGGAAACAATCTGACAATGTAGGAAATTCCATCCATCCATCCATTATCTATACACCGCTTAATCCTCACTAGGGTCGCGGGGGGCTGGAGTCAATCCCAGCCGACTTAGGGTGAAGGCAGAGGACACCCTGGACAGGTCGCCAGTCTATCACAGGGCCACACTTAGAGACAGACATCGAAAAAAAAAAGCTTTGGATCGATACCACTGCCTTCAAACATCTCTCCCTCTCAAGTCCCATTCGATATGTTACATTTATTAACACCTGACTTGCAGCCATGTACATGCTGCACTGATTAAACAGCTGAAGTTATTACCTGCGTAGGGATGAACTAAGCAAACCTTCCTCCACAGAGAGGAAAGTCAAACTGTGCTGCTGCTGCCTCTTTAACCCCATCCTCCCTCTACCACCTAAAAAAATAAAAAATCGGTAACCTACGGCGGCCTACATGCCTTGCAAAATGCAATTACTCACACTATTAAATCAGACATTTCTTTGATTAGTTCACTTTTGATTTATTTCAGTGGCAGTAATCCCATCAGGTTAAACCGCAAATGTCTCAGCCCGATTCTATCAACCTTTCCACCTCTCATTCTATCCGTTCTCCTGCTTCACCTGCCTCCATCCCAACCTCCTCCTCCTCCTCCTCTTCCTTTTTTTTCACCTCACCGCCAGGGACCTGTGGGGAAGCAGGTGTATACTCACAATAGAGATGCCCACATTAGCACACACACAGTCTCACCTTTATTAAACAGCATTTCTCCGGCTCTTTCTTTTCCAGGTACACCTCGAAGATCAGGTCCCCAGCTGGAGAGAACTGGAAGAGGAGTGGGGAAGAAGAAAAAAGAACAGTTAAATTATAAAGGATTAATTGGGATGATTTTCTTTTAAATTTCCGCTCCAAATCTAAACGGAGGAAAAAGTGAGAGAAATGGTTAAAGGCTGTTGTTGTAACAAACAAAATCTGGAAAAGGAATTCAAAACCAGAAACACGCGTGAGATGGAAACACTGGGAAAGGTGGGAGCATAGGCTGAACGTTTCACCTACGCCGCGCCTCAAACACTTTCCTCTGGAGTTAAGTGTGCAGTTGGCTTAAAAACAGTTTTCAAGACGCACGTTAAATAGGAAATAAAAAGTTCATGTGTTGTTATGAAAATGGAGCAAAATGGCAGAATGAAGCCAACAGAGATGCCAAGAGAGTAGTGAGGGTTCACTGTGCTTAATCCTGTATAAGTGGAAGAGCTACAACACAACAGGAAAAAAAGGGAATCTGTTTATTCAGTGTTACAACCTTGGGTCGCCGCCTTGGGAAGGAAATCTGACATTTTAAACTAGAATAGCTGTAGTCATTTACTGGTTTTGCACTCTAATCATCGTACCGCTTGCTGTTCAACCAGATTTCATTTAAATTGTTCCATATTTCATCAGTCATCCTTCTGGTCCAACATATTACCCGAGCTGTTAACCCGAGGGCAGCGGTCGCCAACCTTTTGGAGTTTTTCTACGGACCGGTCATTGCACACAGAACAAAAAATAAGATTTTTTTTCTATTAAGAAGTTTCACAAACGACTTGTAAATATGTGTTGACTTTTTCTTCTGTCTCAGCGTCGAGTTGTTTCCAAAGAAGCTCAATTCTTTAGACTGACGGCTTCGTTTAACGGCCGAGCTGGAAAACTGACCGTCCAGTGCGGGAAACAAGCGCAGACGGAAGTGACTGGAAGACAAGCTAGTCATTTTTCAAAATAAAACACCCTGTAGACTGTCTTTCTAGTCTTTCTGAGTGGACCTGATACCGGTCTGCGGCCCGGTGGTTGGGGTCCGCTGCTCTACTGGACCACAAAAAGAGCTCTGACGTCATCCGATCAGCGTGAAGTCCTTCGGTTAAAATATAAACACTTCCCCTGAAGCCACACCAAAGTTCTGGAACAAGCTTCCCCCCTGACCATCACTGATCTGGGTCTTGTTAAAACAAAGCTTAAAACCTCTCTGTTTGAAATACCTAGCTGCGTTTTATTTTAGTCTTTATGTACAAACTTTTAGACGTATATATGTTAGTGTCTTATTTATTTTCGTGTCTATTTTACTGCCGTTTCTGTTTGAAGTTGTTTGATTGTTTTTAAGTTATTCTCATTTTTTTTTACTATGAAGCACTTTGGTTACCCTGTGGGCTGTTGTAAAAGGCTATACAAATAAAGTTTGATTAAATTTCTGCTTCTATACATAAAGACAACCTCATAGTAAAGGTTACATGTTGTTCCCAGTTTCCGCATATTCATGAAACCGCATGTTCTTTGGCTCAAAATACGACTGACGGTTCGTTTTACCCTGATCTGATTCTAAACAGGTGTCTTTAAACACAGCTTAGCTACTGTTACCCCTTTAGGAAGAAGATGCTCTCTGATTGACAGCGCTGAGAAAAGCAGTTGACCCTATTGCAGCAGACTCTGGTGTTAATTAGAGTGTGACACCGGGACTTTATATAGCAACAATTATTTTCACCATATGGGACCTTTACGGCATAGTTTTGAACTGTAAACACAACCAGGCTAGCGGGTGCTTGCTTGCAGTCTTTACATGTCGGTAAGCTGAAGCTAATCACCTCTTGGATGCGACTCCATACGTAAAGCTGTTGGAGAAGGCAGACATTTTTTTGGTGTCATTGGGGGGGAAAAAAATCCATAATACCCTTTCGGTACACTGCAGATCTATGGCTCTGAAGGGAACCTGGACTTATGTACTCATGACGGAAGACTTTGAGGTCTATAGGTCTATAAACGTAGGTGCACATGTCCCTTCAGATGGTGGAAACTGGGTTCAATAGCGGAAAAGTTGCGATTTCAGTGTTGGTTGGTTGGTTGGTTGGTTGGTTGGTTTGTTGGTTGGTTGGTTGGATGGTTGGTTGGATGGATGGATGGATGGATGGATGGATGGAAGGATGGAAGGATGGATGGATGGATGGATGGATGGATGGATGGATGGATGGATGGATGGATGGATAACTGCCTACACTGCAGAGCAACCCCCTCCCAAAAAATGAGTCTTCATTTTCCTGTAATATCTAAATGTGATGCCTAAGCCTGGAGTCCTCTAATGGGACAGCATGGGGCTGTATTTTTAAGATCCGAAAAATAAGGGCCCACTGGCTTGTACAACTCAAACCAATTAAACTGGCTATTATCAACAGAAACACAGAAAAACAAATGATTCCATTCAACCTTGGAGTTAATTGAATTTAAGACCAAAGGTAGACTAGTGGTTGCAAAAAAAAAAAAAAAACAAATCATAGTAATCCTTCCATAATTGCTATTTCAATTTTTCACTTGCAGGTCAACAGACAGAAGGTGAAAGTTTTTTCTTTTTTTTTTTACTTACTATAATCTGAAATTAAAAAAAGATGATTTTTTTGACTTGTGCCTGACATTCAAGAGGTCAAATTCCTTGCAATATGTCACTTGTCAGTACAAATCACGGCACCTTTCTCAATGTGTTGGAGCTGTAATCCTCTCTGCATCAAATTAAAAAGTGAGTTTTAAAGGGGGTGTGAAAAAACCAGAGAAGTTAAGTGAAAGAGACGGGGTCATAGCCGAGGCACGGAATCCGGATTTCTGGCGAGTCTGAGGAGAGAGGGGGGGTAATCCGTCTCCAAAAAAAATGAACAACTAAGTGAGCTTGAAAAGGTGTCTTTTCTCTTTGCTATCTAGAAATTACAGTTACTTTCCCTTTGTCATTTTAATGCGCAGGTGAGCCGAGGTCCATTATTGGCTTGAGCTGTGAGAACTATCGCATGATAAGAGGGAGGAAGCCACTTCTGACTCCTGTGGCCTTAAAATGATGCAGAAATTACAGTCATTCAAACCAATGGAGCAAGAGCTGTAATTGTGAAAATGTCATGCACAGATATGGGGGCCGTCGAGCTTTTTTCCTCTGTACACTTTTCCTCCTTCCATTCATCCTCGTGTAACGGAAGGATTTAAAAAAAACACACTTCTAACGTGAAAGAAATACAGACGGCTTGTTTAAAAAGAAGCAAAGGGATGTTTTAAATGTTTTTTTATAGATCCTGGGGAGATTTCTCAGCGCTCAGATTTCTAATCTTTCAACAGAAGCCTTCCTCTCGCCGGCACTAAATGCAAGCATCGATTCCGAAGTGCCACTTTGAACTTAAAAGGCATGACATCGCCTTGCACCTCATTATATTCCTGATTTACTTACTCCCTTTAAGCCCAGCTACCCTATCTACTTGCAGGATGCCTCCTTGCCATTCCCCACCTTTAAAAAGGAAGCAGATGAGGTCAGAACCTTCACCTCGAGGGCCCCCCCCGAACCCTCCGAGACGAGCTTCCTGAAAATGTCAAAAGCGCACATTGTCTCGGTATTCAAGTGCGGACCCAAGAGCCGTTTGTTCAGCAAAGCCTTCATTATATACTTTAACTCCTATTTAGGCTGAATAGTTCTTCAAACTTCTTATCCTAAATGGCTGAATATGTGGGCCCACTGGTCAATTGGTCCAACACTTTACTGGTTCAGACCAAACCTCTTCATAGATCACCGTAAGATTTAGTAGATGAGTCCTAGAGTTATTACCGTCATTACCATTTGTGGTTTTGAGTGAAAAGCGTCATCAGCTTGTTGGAATGGGTTGCCTTGGAAACTGGCATTCATGTCTTAATCAGGGTAAATTGCGAGAACTTTGGTGAGCCTTTTGAAAGACCTCCTATTTGGTAAAAATCTCATTTTTTTTTGCCTCGCTAAGATGTTAACAGAGAGTTTTTCGACGCTAGAAGACATGAGCAGTCTCCCCTTGAAACTGCAGATGACACAGATTCTTTTGGAATCGATTTCCAGTTCAAACACGTACGGCTGAGTCGCTCCGATATCACAACTCGCCGATGTGTAGAACGGAGTCGCTCCGCAGTGTTTGAGCAGAGTTTGATCTGAGCCGATGTGCTGCAGTGGGTGGAAACAGAGGCGGGGACTTGGTAGATCTGCACATTCTAGAGGAAGTAAAGGTGTAATGTCACATCTAAGCTATTTTAAGGGAGGAAGTGGGGCTGCTCAATGTGTCGTTTCAGCACAGATGTCGCAATATGTGAACGTGCAACAGTCGCATCGCGGGAGGCGCAATGTGAAGTAAGGAGAATTAATGCAAACACATGATGCTGCAAGTTTTTTGGCCGCTTGATGCAAGAAAAAGACTGTTTTCGTCGTCTATTCTACAAGAGAATGGCATCATTTTCTTGAATTTAAAGGTTCTTTTGCTTTATTTTCAAGACGCCAAGCTTGTTGACATGCGTCCTGACCAGTCTGATGAGTGCAAAGCCGTATTTGAACGCCAACCAAAGAAAAAACTATCTTGAATGCCAATGCTGAGCAAGGTTCCCAATGGATTCTTTTAGCATTTTTTTTCCCAAATAATCGAAATTCCTGCATTTTTTTCATATTGAAATGTATTTCAAAGACAAACTAAATATCACAATGTCGTTTTCTTGCTAATATTGTGCAGCCTTATCAGGACGGGGGATATTTTCATGGAAAACCTCTTTTCTCAGTATTGTTTGGCAGAGGCATGACCATCAGATTAGGCTGCACTGCAGTGTCTAGTCCTGCTTAATACACCTATAAATGCCTATAAAGTTGGAATAATTGTTATTATCAGACACATTCTTCTTTTTATTTCTATTCATACACATCAGTAATCACCTTTGACCAGGTTCAGTGATTAAATACTGAGTCCTACTTATCAGGGGAAACAAATTCTGACTTCAGGATCTGACCAAAGAGTGGGACATCCTCAACTAGCATGTGGACAGTATGCCATGATGTCTTAACGCATTGATCCGCTTCAGGGATGGCAATACTCAATATTAGTGACATTTGAAAGAGTAATTTTGGACATTTTTATGCATGAAATCCCCTCGAATAAGTGCTTCCTATTAAATTGGTAGAAAACTTGAAACAAAACCCTTCATCCTATTGTTCAAGACCCCCAATTTAGTTTAAGCCTGAATTCACAGTTGGCAAAAGTTAACTGTGGCTTCATTTGTACTGTCATATGTGTTGTATTTATTGTGAAATCAATAAAGTTTTAAGAAGATATACACTTTATCAATCAAGAATAAATTGTCACAATCATTCCATGGTGCGTCCAAGATGGCGCTGGTGATGCGGCAGCATGTTACATGCAGCTTCGTAGTCTAAGTATTTTTTATTATTTAATTCTTTCCTCTTTTGTACTGAAGTAATTTCCTGTAAAAGAATATAATAAAGTACCCATCTATTTATGAGGAGAGGTAAAAAAACAAATTATTCCAGCTTTATGGGCAACAGCGTCCATGTTGCTAACACGCAAACCCTGAATGCTAAATAGCAGCATGTTAGCATTCTGATGTTAGCAGGTAAAGCTTAAAGTACTGCTGTGCCTCACTGAGCTGCTTGAGCTGTAAACTATTCGTGTCTTGTTAGAAAACTCTCCTTAACTTTGCAGCGATGGAAGCCACTGCAAATGTTGATGATGTGAGAACACACGGTTTGCAACAAGCCTTCAGAACCGGCTGCAATTGAAAATAACACGAATGCTGACAGGAAAATGTGATGTAATTTTGCACAACTTCAAACAACCTGGGCCTGAAAAACTACACAAACTGTTTTCCAAAAAGCCCACTGAATAAAAATGCCACTAAGCTTATATAAACCTGAGCCACACAGCACTATAAATAAACTGCATGCATACATAACCGCTGAATCTGTGGGTGGTAAATGACGTTGTTTTTTAACCACCTTTTTCACATTTCTAGAAGTTGAGAGCTACTAGAAGGCAGCTCTGCATAAAAATAGATTTAAAAAAAATAATGGACATTTCAGTTGTCGGCGTTTAACTTTCACTTTTCGCCTCCGAATCAGCCGCTGCGACCGGCTTCAATTGCTCTTTAGCTTGTGTTCTCTGGCCCCTGCAGACAGCGTCTAGCGGCGGCGTCTACAATAAAGCCAGAGAGTGATCAGAAGTGATAGAAGTAAGCCGGTGTAGGAAGCTATTTGAGTAGCATAAAAACGACTTGAAGCGATGGTGAATCATTCAGAGATCACACGTTTTAACTAATTAAATAATAACTACGCATTTCTAGCTAAAAATCCTTTCCTTCAAATTCGCATCCATACCCAAAATGTCATCCCAATTTTCACCTCCGACAGCTTTATAATAGCGCCGGCTTTCCGCTGGGTAACCCCTCATTGCCCCACAGCGGCAGTCGTGTTCTGAAATGTTACGGACAGAAGAAGGCGTTTGCGAGAAAGATCGGGCATAAACAACTTATTTCAGTTTCCAACAACAGCAGCGACATGTGATTTAATTTTTTTTTTCCTCCCTCTTCCCCCAGTTTATCTGAACCAAATGTTTTTCTCGGCTGAGGCATCCAGGCATAAAGTACCTGCCGTAAAGGTTAACAGGAACAAAGCCCTTTTTCCTCACCCGCCTGCTCCTGCCTTCTCTGCCTTCCCCCTTCATTTCTGCCAGAAAAACAGGAAACCTGTTCAAATGAAACCCACATTTGAGAGTCCCTGATGCATGCATGCAAATCAGCACACACACACATGGAGGCACAAACAGAACACCCATTGGTGATTTGGGTTCTGTGGGTCGACTTACTGTGGTGTCCTTCTTGTCATTCCAGCGTGTGATGAAACTATTCTCTCTCTCCATCTGTTGCACCTGGTCTTCATTGACCTGTTGGAAACATTACAAAAACATCAATTCGGCAACCGGCGGAAGGGAAACTTTCTGAGCAACATTACCTCGCTTCATGGAACGGATGGAATTAATTTCAGCACTTAAATATGATACGTAAAGGATTAAACCATTGGGGGGAAAAAAAAAAGGTAGAAGTGGGTCGTTCAGCTCACACTTCTAAAAGTAATTTCCAAAGAGAAAGTTGGCTGTGACTGTTTGACACAGCTCAGCACCGACTCAATGCTCCTTTCTTTCACAGAACTCTGTGTGGGAAATGACATTTTTATTCCAACTTCTTCTTTTTTTTTTAACATCATTATCATTTTCAGAGAACAATTTGCTTTGTTACAGTTATACGAATGGCAGAGAAGATTGGAGTGGTGGTGGGGGGGGGAGAAAAAAAACTCACAAACTCATCGTGTGTGTGTTTAGGTCTGATAATGGGCCCCGTCGACGACATCCAGGCGCTTTAATTAGCGAGGCGTCTCTCTCGTTTTATGTCACGGCGAGCGTATTCACCGCTATTGGGCTCGTGATTGGTTGAGCTTAATGGCTATTTGTCATGCGAATGACGGCGTCCCGAACCGATTTGGAGTGAATGCTCCTCCTTTAACGTCAGAACAAGAGGGATCCAGGCGTTCCGCGGGGAATTAGCAGCCGCTATCCCATAAGCCAGGCAGCTCTCCAAGGGTAACAGTGATCCTACACCACCACCACCCCACCCACCCACACATCAGCAAAGTCAAGCCTGTTGTGGAGATTTGGCAATAACAGTTCTGCTCCCCAGATGGTTGAAGAGTGTAAATAAAGTCACGCCTGCAGCTTCGTTTAGATATGCAATATGGTAATATCTGGATATTTTATTTTTCCCTTTGTCACTGATTGTTGTTTGGAGTGACTCTAAAGACAGCGGGCCGGCTACATTACAGTATACTCTAGGTTCCCTACAGTTGCTACGATGGGCTATTGATGTCAAATAACAGATCTGAAACGAGGATGTGATACACAGCCAATTCACTTCAAATTCTTTATATGAGGTGTGTCAGAAAAGTTCCAGGACTGGTGTCACAAAAGATATGTTTAGAATTCAAACTGCAAACGACAAAATTTCCCCTTTGAAATAATCCTCTTGAAGGATTCTTCCAGGATTCTCACAGCTCCGTCGTTACAGCCATCTTGATGTCGCCCATGTCTTCCCCTTGATGACCCCCTTGAGCTTGGGGAAGAGGAAACAATCCCACGGGAGTCAGGTGAGGTGAGTAGGGAGGTTGCTCCAGCATGGTGATGTTCTTCTCAGCCAGAAACTGTCGGATGCTCAGGGTGTTGTAAGCAGGTTGTCATGGTGAAGCAGCCACGACTCTCACCTCTTCTCGAACAAAGCAAACGTCACAGGATCTCTTTGTAGACGTGCTGGTTGATCGTCTGAAGGGGAAAACTGGTAGCTTGGGTTTGAAATATATGTTTTGTGACACCAGTCCTGGAACTTATCTGACACCTTGTGTAGCACCAACTCACAGCCTATGTCATGTCATAACACTTTAAGGTGAAGACCTTATGAATCCTTAATGGAGAAAAGAGAACCCAACAAGTTTCTTTTGGATTTCCTTTGAGCAAGCAGTTGGCAACAGTTGGAAGGAACCAAAACAACAAAACTCAGGGAAGGTGGCCATCTGCCTGGACCGGTCGGGGTGTTAAATGGGGCTGGGCATTAGACACGTGTTCACAGAAAAATATCTATATCTCACAATATTGGATATAGAATGCATTTATTGTAATATTAAGTCTATTTTGAAATTCTAAACGGCATACTTCAATATTTACACATGAAGATGAGTCAATTCATCCTGAGCATTCGTATAAAGTGGCCTGTGGAAACACTTGTATCACGTCTTCTGAGGATTTGGAGGGAGCTTTTCAAAGACTGAGAAAATAACCTCTCATGAAGTCATAAGGGTTATCTCAGTTTGGGCATGGAGACTTAAAATTTCTCAGTAACACCCCGAGGACACAAGTTTATAGGACTAAGATGTTTGCTAGGAAGAAAAGGTTGAGAATGGCAGCAAATTATAAGATGCATTACGTTTAGAATCTTGACCCACTGCAGGGACGAAAAAGTGAGAATGTCTCAGCTCGGCGGCTATTTCTTCTTTTTCTTTTTTTAAAATCTGTCTCTCACAGGTTCACTAACTTGGCTCTTTAGCTGCAATTTAGGTCCTGAACAGCTGTCAATTAAAACGCACACAGAACATAATTTAATGTTGAGTATTTATTGCTTCATTGACTATTACATGGTACGCTAAAATAGTTTGTGTTATGCGTGCATGAAGCATGCAATATATGCAACAACCAGTTATGGGGAGTCTGCCATTAGCCTCTGTGACTGCGTTCAATGATGCTTGAGTTTTTTTTCGGCCACAACAACACAATCGTAGCGCTGTAGCTAACGCATTTAGCAGATTTTCCTCCCTGTGACGACATCTTTTTCCCCCAAAAGTAACCAAGGGTTGCTGTGGCAGGAGCGCTGAGAGCGGTGTGTTGATCAGCAATGCACTTTGTTGTTAATTCCATACATAAGAGGATTGTATATCACATATTGTACACGACTTAGCGTGATTTACACGTAGCAAAAACGGTGATATTTCAATGTGTGCAGGCCTTTGGTTTACACGAAAACGAAGCTACAAGTCAGTGAAAACGATGATTTCGGAAAACTCCGGCCAAAGTGGACATTTGTAAAAACTCCATCTTTACGTTTGCATGTAGACGAGAGGAGACGGAGTTTGACGTCACAGTATGAGACAAAGGCGTCATCGGCGTAACATGTGTGCGACCCATTTTTGGCTACTGTGATAGAAATGGATGCTGTTAAAGTAGCTCGGTCCAAACAAACCCTCGTGCCTTTATCGTTAAAGAAGTAATTTGTGCCATTTGTTGTTGTTTTTTTTCCAGGATTCTGATTGGCTAGCATGGCTTTCTCGCTACACTGCCCCCTATAGGTTTGGCATGCACATAGCAGCTCTTTACAACGTATTAATGTGGGTTTGTGTAGATTTTTTCGAAAACAATTTGAAGATTTGTTTTTGTAAATGTGTAAACGTAGCCTTAGCTTCATAAAATCCGGTTCTTGAGATTTTTTTTTATCACTTTATACAATCCAGGCATGAAAAAACCTATAGCTTTTAGATGCCACGGGTGTTTTGGCCCACATACAAACTACATCACTTTGTTCTGAGTCCATGACTTTTTTGTTGCCTTTAAAATTAATTCAGTACAACAGCAAGAACAAACAGATGTTTTTTTTTCCCAGCTACACATATATTTCTGATGCACATACTGTACATACAGAACAGAGTCATGAGCCTGCATGGTCTCGTTTCGCCTCAAGCCAAAGATGTCCTGAACAAAATCCCATTGTTATGTGTTGGAGGTGACCTGTTTTTTAAAATAATATCTGTATTTTCTGGAGATGTGTGCAGAATACAGTTGACAAAGACACAATGCAGCAATAACCTCAGCAGAATAGCACCAAATATTATATTTTTTTGAACAACTTGTGCAATATGTGTATATGTAGTGAAAAACTGGATGTTATCTAACTGACAGGGAGAGGACCGATAATAGGCAACCGAGTCCAACTCAGCCTTTTGTCGCCGTCCTCAATGACTCCCGATCAGTCCTCCACCGCTATCAGCACCGTCTAATGGCGAACAATAAAAGAACAGAACATTTCGGACTCACGCTGAAGAGTGTCACGTAGTTGCTGATCAGGTCGTGCACCACTCTAATTTCCTGTGGGGTTTGCCCCTGAGTCTGGAACAAGCAGGACGAGAAGACGGAGGCCAGTTTTTCGCTGGGCATGCGGTTGAGGTGGGAACACTGCTGAATCCTGAGAAAAAAAAAAAAGAAGAGAAAAACAAATCCTACATTCACGTCTGATCGGCACAGCAGCAGTTTGTATCTCTCACTCGCTGCATAATTGAACGAAACGGTCCAAATTCAGCAATGGGTCAATTAATGCTCCTCTAAACAATCTATATCATTAACAGCTAGATTACAACTATCCGCCGCAGGTTTCTGAGGGGCTGATGTGTAATGTGAGCCTCAGCGAATGAGACATCAAGGCAGCAAAGTGCTGGGATCTTAATTTGTTGTGATGCTTTGGCTCTTCGCCTTCCGTATAATAACCTGTTTGTGCGCGGATTTCCACTCTAAGTAAGACTAAACATTACTGAATTAGTCCATTACAGTCGAGCAACTGCGAATTTATTACAAGAAATGTCTACATATTCACAACGTCCAAGAGTAGAAGGACTGAAAATTCAACATTTAAGTCAATAACTGACTGAGAACATAATGAATAGAGAGAGAGAGAAAAAAAAAAAGTATCTACATTGCCAAAGATAGCACCACTTGTGCTGTGAACTTCAATTAAGTGTTTTCTAATTCCCAGCATTTATATTAATGAGCCACACAATCTGCCTCACTTGGAAAATGCCAGCAAATGGCACGAACAATATGAAATTGATTCATCATTTTCAAACCAAGGAAACCGTTGCTACAGTGACAAAAAAAAACAAACAAACAGCCTTTTAATATTAAGCTTTTCTTTTTTTTTTTAAACGGACTTTTCGCCATATCGCTGCATAGCATTCGTGAATAAATCTGATAATATCCGACTTGATTGGACGGGAGAAAAAAAAAAAAAAAAAAAGAGAGAAAAGAAAATCTCACACGCAACAGAGAGAGCAGAATAGGTCATTAGGAGAATGGAAGGGGCAACAGGCTAATCAGCAGGTGGCAAATAGCAACCCGAGGGCTACTCAAGGTGCACGACCTTTGAGTCTTTGTACTTGTTACCTCTGCGAGGCGCCGCGGCATCTGTAGAGCCCTGTTGTTGCTTGTTCCATCGACAACAGGGTCAGTCGAGAGCACAAAGCACTTCTCTAACTATTTGAAAAGAACTACAAATGTGCAATCTGGGAAAACTAGTGCGTATAAATAATGATTTTTGTAATATTTCATTAGGTGCCATGAAGTTGCAGGAAGAGTGGCTGCACTAATTGGGGTAGTACTTAATCATATCACACCGTGACAGGAGACAATAAACCATACCGTAATTTAATTAAAGCAGATACAAGGTGTATGTATATAATCCTTAGTGGTATAGTTGTGTTGTCTTATTAATTTCCGGTTTACCGAGAGTGTTATTCTACTATCTTGACATTTTAAGCACACTTGACTAAGTTTGCCTTCAGGATACTGAAGTTTTACCATAACTTTGATCTTTATCTTGAAATAGCTTCAGCGGCACAAACTCTAATTGTGTGTTCAGTTTGAAGCCTGTGTGAGCAGATGTGTGTGTTTACCTGTACAGATGTTGGAGCAGGGCATCAAGGGTTGACCTGTTTATCTTTGGCAAACTCTCGATGAAAGTGGAGTACTTCTTTACTCTCTGCCCCGCATCCTTCTCATCTGCAAAGTCAAGCAGACGTGAAATGAGCAGGTAGAAAAATAAAGTTAACTATAACAGAGGTAGTAACACACAACTCCACAGCGGCGATGGAGAATGGTCTGACTGCAGTCGTTGTCATTTTGTTATAATAAACAAACACTCTAGTCTGTTTAAATCAATCAAAATCTTGCCCCAAACATGATGCTATGATAATGCCTCTGCCGTGCTTTGGTGTAACATTAGCACAAAATAGCTAATTCTCCCCAAAAACCACCACAAAAACAGTAAAATCCGTATTTTAAATGTGTGATTTGACTTTTCCTGATAATGAAAGCAACCATAATTTGACAATTCATTCCCTAGATGTGAAAGTTGCCTATACTTGATCTCAGGAGGAGCTCACCAGACTCATTAAAACTAGATGAGCTATATATGCATCTGACTTCTGCAAAAAAAAAAAAAGTATTAAACCGATGTCACAGGGGCTTATGTGAAGCGGAAGGGGATCCGTACACACTTTTTAAATTACTTAGCAAATTGAAACAGGCTGTCGTCTTCACAGGATGTAACTCGGCGATATCCCACTTGTATTCCCACCTCACATACCCAGAGCTGACACCCAGTATGGATAGAGCTCCTTGGTCAGCAGTGCATCCTCCGCCTGGGATAAGAAGCTCTTTAGGGTGTCCGTCACGTCCTCCAGCTGGTGCTCCTTCTCTCTCAGCTTCACATTACGGGCGTCGCGGGTGAACTCCTCCAGGAGGAGGGAGACCCGACCGGGGTCCCCGGGCCGCTGGTAGACCCCCTCCTGGCACAAACCTGGTGTCGGGAGGAAGTGAAGAGGACACCGGTGAAACAACGCTGGCTTCTGAGTTTATTAGTCAGATGGGGAATAACTCTAATACAGTTACAGGGAAATAAACAACCTTATGGACAGTTTGACTTCACAGCGTTGCATAAGCGAATCTAAATTGCAGGTGGAATAAAATTGACGGCGCGAGGTATATTAACCTTCTGTGCTGCTTTACAGTTTCAGTCAGAGTTGCCTTTTATTTCAATCCCTCATTACATCGCATTTATCATGCATTACTAAGGCAACAGGCTGTGCGTAAGCGGATGGACGGAGCTATCCCATAGTAACAGCGCGGCGGTGACGAGCACATTTTCTACATTTCTAAAAAATATGGCGAGCAGAGCGACGGGATAATGTCGCAGCATTATGCCAGACGACATTAGAAAGCATGAAATTCTCATCACAACGCCGGATGAATGGGCTCCTCAAGGGGACCTGGCAATAACGCCGAACTTATTTTTCGAAACTTTTTCTGCAGATATTAAACACAACACAACTCACCATACTGAGTGACAAAAGCAATGCAGCTGTCGACTATAATGGGAACACCATTTTTAGTGAGCTGTTGGTCACTGAGCGCCTTGCCATCTGTGCCAGCCGCCAGTGTGATGGCAGAGTGCCACAGCGTAAAGTCCATCTTCCCGAAGCCGTGGATGTAAACCGTCCTATTAAAACGGAAAACAGTCGGTAATTAATGAAGGCATAACTTCCTGTGACAATATGGTGCTTTGTATACTCAGACTTAAAGTTCATATAGTTAGAAAAAAGAAAAAAGAAGCACTGCTAAGTCAATAAATAAACAACCAACAAGATTAAAGGAATCCAAAAGTGCTTCTGCGGAACACACATCTATAAACAACCGCTGGTTCCCCCATGAGGTTTGATCAAAAAACACACACAAACGAACAGCAATTAACGAAGTAAGCGCAAAGTCTTGTTACTCTAAAAGGGAGCCTAAAACTGTTGGCTCGTGCGAGGAGCTTGGAGTGTGCTACGTGCCATCTCACTCCTTCTCTCTAACCGAGGCAGGCAGTCGAGTAAGGCTTTAATTACCTCGGATGGTTACAGTAGGTGAAGTGCATTCAGACTAACAAGACAAAAGGCAGAGTCAAAGCTAACAGCATTGCATAATGCATGCTGTTGCTGTATCACAAATGCGTTGCCAATTAGCGCACCTTTTTTTTTTTTTTTTTCCCCACCCTCCATTGAAAGACATACCTTCCACACTCCACCATCAGCAGGACTTGGATCTTGTCCTCACCCTCGGTATGTGTGGAGACAGCTGGAAGAAAAGGGCAACAAGTTGAGAGCGCGGCACAGTCGTGGAAAATGCCAAATGCATTCCATAATAGCTTGTTGTAATGGGAAACATGAATTCAGGTTTTGGACCACTGGTTTACTGACAAACAAGAGAGGGAAGTGGGGCATGAACAGTAGTGTCATTGTCACATAAATGTGGTCTAGATGCAACTAAAAAATGACAGCGGGTTGTATTTAACACATTCAAACAAAAACCTGTCAGTCTTCATCTGCACAATCAATCGACTTAAATCAGAATAAGAGCACAAGATACAGGAAAAACTGGGCTAAGGGACTGAAAAGCTCTGCCATAATCTCTTCTGGGGCTTCAAACAGCTGCTTGGATCATGGCAACAATCACACACAACAGAGGAAGTACAAAAAAAGATATGAGACTCTGCGCAAATCTCCTAGCAACAACATCTGGCACTTTCATCATACTCAAGCACTGGTTGTGCTCAAGTAATGGATAGAAGGAGGAAGGAGAAAAAAAAAACAGAAAAAAGAACCTGGACTTCACCTTAAAAAGCTGTGGATTTTTTTAAAGAGATTGAATGCCGAGCAAATAACAATCTGTACAATTGCTAAACAATTTAAGATTTTCAATTTTGATGGATAAAGGAAGAGTCTGACATTCCGGGAAATGCACTTTGCCAATCTAATCGGATGCGACAGATGGTTTGTTACACAGTGTGACACGTCCTTGGAAGCTGTTTGGAAAAGGCTGGAGACTTTTAAAAATACACTTGTCAGTGGATTGGATGAACCATCTGTCTATCACGGGATAGCTCGCACCTTAAACTACCCCAAGGCTGCCGGTAATGCCTCATAGGCCACTGATTGGTCTGACTACTTATGGATCCTACGCAAGTGCACAGTTTGAAGCCTGATGAGATGTAGAATGTGCAAATGCAGCACCTTGGATGGCTGGTATACTTCCATTACACTGACAATAGTCACCGTTAAATCTGGAAAAAAATAATCCAGCATGGCTAAGTAACATTAGTCTAATGTTAAAAGTGCTATTAGAGTAGCATTGCTTACATTTACAGTTACTTTGACATTCATGAAAAGGATTTCAAGGCCCAGTCGGGGTAAGAACGGTGTCCAGTTTGGACTCTGCTTTGTGCAGATGTGTTGTTCCATTGGCTTCATCTGGCCGTGACCTTCATCGGGGTGATTTGCAGCCAAGTAGGAATCGGCCAGAATGAGATTCCACACCTCCAAGTCTGAGGCAATCGTTCTCTGCCAGAAAAATCTCCCTCTGGTTTGGGGGGGTGAGGTACCGCCATAATCTTGGATCTTGTTCATGAGCGATGGTAAAACGGAGGTGGACAGAAGGATTAGGGGGGCGTCAGCAGTAATGTGGGCATTGAATTGGATCGTAATGGTGAAGAGGGAGCTGAGGCGTAAGGCTAAGCTCCCGATTTACCATTTGGTCTACATTTCAGCCCTCCGCTATCGTAATGAGCACTGAGTAGTGACCAAAAGAATGAGATCGCAGATTAAAGCAGCAAAATGTGCTTCCTCCTTTAGGATTGGCTGGGCTCAGCCTTAGAGATAGTATGAAGCGCCCTGACATCCGGAGAGGGCTCAGAGTTTTTCCTCTCTATGTCGAAAAGAACCAGCTGAGGTGGTTCAGGCATCTAATTTGGAGGCCTTCTTGGCACTTTCCTTTGGAGGTTTTCTGGGCAAATCCAACTGGGAGAAGACCCAAAAATGAATCCAAAACTTGCTGGAGGAAATACATATCTGGCCTGGGAATATCTTCCCAAGGAAGACTTGGAAAACATTACTGGGAAGAGGGACGTAGGTACCCCACCACGACCGACCTCGGATAAGCAGATCTAAATGGATGGATAGATGGACACTTTGCTTTGGTGTTCCACACAAGCTTGAAGCAAAGCCAAGAAAGTAGAGGCAACTGGAGGTGCAGTAGTGCCCTTGCGATATAAAAGTTGGAACGACTCCTAAATTAGGACTTTTAGATCAAATATGAGAGAAGATTCAGCAACTGCACCTCAAATTTGTTCAGAGACAAGTTTTGTTGGATTGCTAAGGTGAACCTCAATGGCTCAAACAACTGGGGCCGTAGGAGAAGTTGGACCCATCACTGCAAGATGGATTCTCTTATGATCATAATCTTGCGAAACCTACTTTCAATACCACTCTGGTGTGGCTGGTTTGCTTAGTATAAACCAGAATGTGTCTTGTCTTTGTTTTTTTTCTCAATTAAACAAGACATAATGTTAATTAGATGCTTCAGTGGGCTGTCCACTAGGTTGGCAGTTCCATCACCAGCCCCGGTGGAAGCCGAAATGTCCTTGGGCAAGAACCTGAAGTTGTTCTAGAAGCATCTCACATCGCAGCTCGAGTCACCACTGCTATCAGAGTGTTTGTGAATGGGAAACATTGTGCTTTGAGTACCACAAAGTTAGAAAAGCACAATATAAGTGCAAACAATTTACTATTTGGAAGCAGCCGTCCACGAGGGAAAACTGTATTAACGATTCCTAATTTTTTTATGTAATGTACATCTTTAATGGAAACTTTCACATAACTTTGATTTAGTACACACTCTCTTCCGACAAAATATAATTTGATTATTGGCACAAGTATGAAAGACGATTGGCAAAAATAGTGTTTTGGCGAATCAATCCGTCGACTAGGTCTTTGTATGTCGAGCTAAACAGCAAGAACTTAATCCCCAGAAGTCCCCTTTAACAAATAATTTCCTTTTTCTTTTTCTCTGGCAGATTTTCAAGGGCACAGTTTTTCATTTTGATCTAAACGACAAGAGAAGAAAGCGGAGAACTTCAGAGATTGATATTGACTTGAGAGAGGTTTATTAGCGGCGTTATCAGGTAAATGCAAAACACTTGTCATAGTCGTTTGAACAAACACACAGCAATCCTCTTTTATCCATCTGAACAACACAGTGGGAAAAATCGTATTACTTAATATGTTTTTAAGATAAGGAACTAAGTCTTGTTCGCTCCATAATTTGTGGAAGATATTTTCATGGTGTTTTTTTTTTTCTGGAAAAAACACGAGACTTACTTCAAGTGCACATTTGGTATTTGAGTGTTTCTTTCTTTTTTTTTTGGACCCATATTATCTGATAACCTTTTAATGCTAGGGCCCACCTGTGCAGGCCTCTGGGTATGATTATCCACAGTGGAGAGAAAGCTAGTGATGAATCATGGGTTTGTTTGTTTTTTTTTGCTCTGGAAGCAATTCCTACTGGTTGGGTAGGACATGTGGCGATACATTGGATAGGTTGGATACATATCAGCCAAGGAATGGATTTTGGTAATGGATGTAAGAAAAGGTTTGAGCTTTTCAAGTAATCCATGGGTTCTAATCCATTTTTTAGTCTAGGAAGATACCTATAAGTGCATGATGAAGGGTTGTTATATGGTAAACAGAAATAAGTTGATATATTTACTTGGAACATGTCTATATGTGGGCTGCAGGGTGGCACAGTTGGTAGCACTGTTGCCTTGCAGCAAGAAGGCACCGGAATCTTTCTGTGTAGTGTCTCCATGTTCTCCCCGTGCAGCGTGGGTTCTCTCCAGGTTCTCCAGCTTCCTCCCACACAGTCCAAAAACATGTTGAGGTTAATTGGTGATTCTAAATTGTCCGAGTGTGCTTGGTTGTCTGTCTCTAAGTGTAGCCCTGTGATAGACTGGTGACCTGTCCAGGGTGTCTCCTGCCTTCACCCTGAACAGCTGGGATAGGCTCCAGCCCCCCATGACCCTAGTGAGGATTAAGCGGTGTATAAATAATGGATGGATGTCTATATGTAGTTTTTTTTATATCCTAGAACAGCGGTCCTCAACCTTTTTAAGCAAGAAAATTTTCTACTTCCCCGTCATCACACACGTAACAATAAATAATTGTTTTTTTTCTATTAAAAAGTTTCATAAATGAATAAAATCACTTGCGAAATACATTTTTGTTTTTTCTTCTGTCTCAGTATCGAGTCTCTCCCACTTTCCAAAGAAGCTGAGATAGTTTTTTTTTATTAATTTCGGCAACTGTTAGACCGACGGCTTCGTTTAACGCAGGGGTCTCGAACTCCGGTCCTCAAGGGCCACAATCCTGCATGTTTTAGATGTGTCCCTCTTCCAACACACCTGATTCAAATGATCAGGATCGTTATCAGGCTTCTGCAGAGCTTGATGATGAGCTGATCATTTGAATCAGGTGTGTTGGAAGAAGGAAACATCTAAAACTTGCAGGATTGCGGCCCTCGAGGACCGGAGTTCGAGACCCCTGGTTTAACGGATAAAAACTGGCAGAGTCAAGTGCGAGAAACAAGTGTAGACGGATGCTACGGGAAGATGAGCTAGTCGTTTTTCAAAATAAAACCTGCAGACTCTGCTGGAAAAAAACAAAACAAAACAATAACTTTTTTTGGGGATCGCTGTCCTAGAAGACATATCATGAGCAAAATAAGCAGCCAGAATTAGAATCGGTTTCTGTTTGAACATGGATGGCTAAATTACTCCAACATTGAAACTTTCCATTGTGTAGCATAAAGCAGTCAGTGAATATTTAGTGTGTCTCAGTAAAATGCAATAAATGTATCCGTGAGCTCTACAAAACTGTGAATTTCGACAAAATCATTTGCATCCATGCTGACCAGCCACCGGTCCAATCTCCTGTGTGTACCGGCGCATTGACACATACGCTACCTGTAAAGCTACAAGTGTCAACAACAGCGCTGCATCCTATCACCTGTGTGCACACATTTGCATTCTGGTGTGCATGCACCAGATAAACACAACCCTCTTAGTAAAACAGGGCCCACAGCGCAACTGGAGGTCAAAAACTCCAGAGGGGGGTGCCTTTAATCTATCAATTTATCTGAAATTCATTAAACAAATAAAACATAAAAAAATTGGATTTGCATGGGTTTTCACCATCTCCCAGAGTAATGGCTGCACAACTCAGGCATGAAGGAATTGGAACAATCAAGGATTATCGCTCACAAAACCATTTGTCTGCGGCGGATCGGTTTTATTAACATTATCGTGTGTATTGTATAAGTGTAGTCTGTCACGGTGAGGCGGAAAATATTCATCTGATCAAAATTGGTAATTACTAAAGTTAACTTCCAATTGAACATGAATTATCACTGACAGTTCTTGCTCCTTCTGAACATATCTTTAAAAATGATTTTTTTAAATCTAATTTTGCTTTTAAATGAACCTCAGTGTGGACACACTGAAATTTGACTACTAAATATGCTGGACTGCAGTCTTGTGCTGATGCCTATCTTAATTTTTAGATGATTGAGCAGAGCAATGGGATTAACATTTTTTTTTTTTTCTATTTAGCCCGCTGCCGTAAGAGAAATCCACTGAGAAAATTGCACTGAATGAGTTTAAAGTTAATGTGCTTATCTTGTTTGAAAACCTTTCATTTCAGAAAGTTCTGGTGGGGGGAAAGCTGATTTGTGCACTGTGACAGGTTAATGATTATCCAGCTCTATCTGTCATTTCCCCCTCATTTTACTTTGGTTCTTGCTATTTGTGCAGCAGATATCTTGACACAAGACATCACAAAAAGATCAATCTTCTCTCAAGTACACAGCTGAGCCCCCGGGAAGCCATTTTTGAGAGGTACCGCACACTCAATCTTTGGGGATAGGATTCTTTTTTTTGTTTTTTTAACTTGTGAATTTATCTGGTTATGCAACACTTTTCAAAAACAAAAGCTACAAAGTGCTTCTTAGCCGAGAGAATTGAATACCGAATGACTGACGATGATCAATAAATCATTTCTGAAAGTAAAAACTGTCCCAGTCACAGGGTTTAGCCAAGGAGAGAGCAAATGATAGACAAGGCAATTAAGAACAGAACAAAAAAAAAAGCCAAAGATTACAGCTTGTGCTTTACTTTCAAGAAGAAAAAAAAACATTAAATACATTTCAAAAGTGAATGATTAGGATTCTGGCAACCTGGGGCCAAAAAAAAAACCAGGAACAGACTGCATCACACTCGCAATGAACTCCTCACGCAGTCTGAAGTGAAGCATGTTGGAAACATGTCGTGATTTTAATTGAAAAGTGTATTTATTTAATCCCTCGGTGCTACACAGGGGCACCTTTCATGTGGCGGTGTCACTGTAGAGAAAATAACAGTTAATCCCATGTCACAGACTGTGAATCCTAAAGGGATCCTTTCAATGCTCCAGAACCTACCATCCCCTGACAAAACAGTCCCTTCTGGCGCTAACGGCTCCCCGGCTGTGACAAATATGGTTTGAGAAAGCCGGGGAAATAAAAAATGAACACCGCTGCAGTTCTTTATCCCGCCCCAGGTGAGAAGATGGGGCGGCACTTTGCGCGATTTGATCCATGTCGAGCTGTAAGTGGATTAAAAAGATCCATTGATTCTCTCCTCCTTCTGTTCGCGCAAGCACACAATCAATTGAAATGTTCCAAAATCTTTATTATCTGCCGAAGTACGTGTGAACTTTTGAGCTTTTCCACCTCGGCCGGCTGGCTTCCCCTCGCCGACTGTCCTTTAAATAACTTCCCCCAGTAACTCGGACATATTTAAGTGCGGCACCGCTGAGACTCCCTCACACTGGGGATATTATGCATTATGGAGAAAGCAATGAATGGCACTTTACTTCTTTTTTCTAAAATCGTGTTTCCAGACCAGATTTGGTGAGCAGCTCAGGGAAAGCTGAATCCCATTTTGTCTAATGATGGCTTGTTAATGCATTATGTAATATTGACCTTTACTGGCCTCATTTTTAACAGAGCATCTTCTCATATACAGGCCCGTGGCACTTTCTCACTCTAGTCCTCTCCAAGCACGCCTTTTTTTTTTTATCATCACGGAAGACCGAACTAGCCAGTTAGAGCAGAGATCCAACTGAAATGTGTAATGGTGTGAGAAGCCGAAATGTCTTCTGACACTGGTCGCTTGCACGCATCCTCAGACATCATTAAGCAGTTATAAATGCAAGCAATAAGAGGGTGTTATGGATTGGTGGGTTTTTTGGAAATTACAGAGAGTGCATGAAAATAGAGTGAACGTTAAAAAGGCACAAATCCCGGCACATTCATCATGAAGTTACCGCAATTGACCGTTTGGAGCATAAACAGATATGGTTGTTGTGGGTCTGAGATTTTTTTAAAAAAACAACTGATTTATTGCCTATTAGAAGCTCAACAGACGCTACTTAACGGACTGTCTGCTTGTGTAAAGTCTGGCAAATTAGGGTGAGCTGAGGTATATTTATTAACTGAAACACCTTTCATGTTTATTTTATTAAAAGCGCTCGACCAAGCCCGGCTTAGTTCAGGCTTAGTCGGAGAAAAGTCAAGCGTCTCAGCAAAATGTAGTCACTGGAGTCTTCATAATGTTCTCTTTGAATGCTGCCTTATGGGCTTTCCTTCAGCAGGATTAATGTTGCTACATGAACCAGGTTTATCTGTATATTTGGGGTTTTTTAGCGAGTTAACCATAAAAGCTTTAAGGAAGGCCGAACCTACAGGAGTTTCCGACGGGTCACGAATGTCTTTCTTTTCCTGACTAGTAAATAAAAACTGAAAGCTGTTCCTCGATGTTTTTAATGCAAATACAGACTTGTGACAAAAAAATAAAAGAAAAAATCATCTGTCAAACAGACAAGACTCACAGCTGTCACGGATTGTTATGATGAGGAGAAAAAGCATTGTGGAAAAAAAAAAAGATGTTTCACTTTAGAAAAATAGCAATACGACCGTGGAGGAATGTTCTAATACAAATACAAGTATAGCATAAAAAACAACTAAACTTTAAGACAGCCTCTGGTGAAAATGAACTTTTCTCTTTTCTTTGTTAATATACCTATACCATGTCTTTTATATGCTGAAAGATAGATCATGAGCAAAATAAGCAATCAATGCCAAGGCTGAGCAACACCGCTTTAAAACTGACCATCTGAGAAACACAGACTTAGGCTTCTGGGGAGTCATATGGAACAAACATAAGGAACCAATCCTGTCAACTTCCAGGGTGCGACTCATTGTGATGCACGGAAATGAATTATAGAGAAGGACTTTAATTCTCTAATACCAGAAGTAAAAGTTATGCATGATACAGAAGGGCCTATTTAAGAGTAATTCGGTAACACTTTATAATAGCTATCTGTTATAACTAGTTAATAGATCATTTGTAAACTGTTAATTAGTGAGTTATTAACCACTTGTTAAGTGTTTGTTAATAGTTTGTTGATGATTTGTGACGATGCCTTATAGATAGTTAATAAACCATTTACAAACTGTTAGTTAATGAGTTATAAATGACTTGTTAACTGTATATTAATGATTTACAGCCATACCTTATAAACCAGTCATAGATCATGAACAAGCCATTAGTGAATTACTTACTAATGACTTGTTAAGTATCAGTTAATAGTTTATATATGTTATTGGGACGTTATTCTAAAGTTGCAACTATTCCTCATTTATTAACTGCTGGTAAATGAGGAATAGTTGCAACTTTAGAATAACGTCTCAATAACATACATAAGCTTATATATCTACCAGTACCAATGAAACTTTGTAGAACAGCAAATGGGTGGAAAAAGTTCAAGGTACAGAAATTTGATATTTGATATTTAAAATATCACAGTTTTGTACCTCAACCCTCTTCCACCCATAGACTTTTCTGTGTATCATATTTTACCAAAGACATACAACAGATAGAATGTTGAACATTGTCTTTAATGTATGAGGAATGAATGAGGAATAGTTGCAACTTTAGAATTGATTTGATCTTGAAATGTCACCCAAGGTCAAACATCACATCCCCAGTGGGAAACCTTTATGTGATTTCCGACAAAAACAATGTGTTTATCTGGTTACAGTGCAGTCAAAGTTTACAACCTTGAGTTTGAACTTGAAATATCACCTAAGGTCAAATGTAGCATCGCTAACGGAGAGCCCCAACATGGTTGCACCAAATACCATAAATCTACCCTCCACCCTTTTGAAGGTATACAGCATTTGTGAAAAGTGGCCTTTGACCTCTAGGGGAGCTATTTTTGCACCGATTGATCCCAAAACAGAATCATGCCGAGGAGAGGCCATCCCTAGCTCACCTGTAAAATATCAACATGTTTAGTACTCGAGCTAGAGACTGAAAGACCACTTTTTATATTGTAAAATGTGGCTTCCAATGTGGTGAAGTAGTTTTGCCATGTTAGTGTAGCTTGGCTTGCTCCATTTCCCTGTAGTGAACCATCATTTGATACCAAGTAGCTGCTAGCTTAGCTCACTTAGCAAGTAGCTTGCCCAACGCTTAAAATAATAGTTTTAACAGTCAACATTCATGCTGTTGCACACTGTCGTAAACATGAAATATTGAGGAAATAGCTGCTTCAAGAAGGCAAAACGTCCACACAAGAGATATTGGTTTGAGAATTTCCCTCCAATGACTGTAAGCAGCATAAATTTAAGCATTATATATAATGTTAGCCTCTAGCACCACTGCCAGCTTCATCATAATTCATTATTTGATTTGAGGTAGAAGGGACACTTTAAGATCCACCATTGAAGACATGCAGAGCCACCGTATGACTGACGTTATGGATTTAAACACACACTTTCCCTGATTCAACTTTGTTTAACTTCAACACCTCAACATGCGGCCCTGACCTTGCACTGCACCACATCTGGCGCAGCCGCTCCGTCTTACTTTCTAATTAACGACCAAAGCCCGCATGTCGCCGCCACGTCGCCGAGCTCCCAGCACGACGAGGAGGCGCGGCGCGAAAAAAAAAAGCCAGCGAGAATAAAAATGCAAATGCGTGGCGGTGCTTACTGAGCTCCTGCAGCTGTTTGAGCTGCAGCACTGCCTCCTCTCCCTCCTCGTCTCCCGAGCTGAAGAACAGCGCCGAGCCTTCCAGCGTAAACCAGCCCACCCTCCAGTAGTACAGGTCGTGGCCTTCTTTGTAGTGAAGCCTGCCGATCAGCTCGCTGTCTTTACGCACCAATCCCTCCACTTTGGGCGGGACGAAGCACTGCGGATCCCAAACACACACAAAAGGAGAGTTTTGCAATTAAGATGCAACTTTTTCGGCGCAGCACAAATCACAACCTTCTTCCTGAACATTTTGGCTTAAAGTGTTTTCCTTCCTTGCTGCTGCGCTCTGCCTCGGCCATTGTTCTGCGATTCAAATTGAAATACGGAGGTCCGCGGGGCCTATGGTGCAGATGGAGAGACATATGGGCTAATGCAGCTTTACCTCCCACTATCTATGACTGGGTTGCCTGGGACTAAAAAGATAAAAGAGGGAACAGGGGACATATTTATGTAGGGTGTTATTACAAGATCCTGTCAGCATGTGGGGGAAGAGATAGCAAGACCACTTGTCTTACTGAAAGAAGCCGAGGCAGCACGGAGGACAATGTGCGAGAATGAAAAAGGAAAAAAGAAAAAAGTGTGAGATGGATGTGCTGTGCAGCAAATTCACACGCTTTTTTTTTTTTTTTAAGTGAAAGAAAAGAGAAAAAAAAAACTTAGAAAAGGAGCAAAGAGTGTGTTTTTTTTTTTTTTTTTTTTGTGGGTGAGTGGGCTTTGTGCAAAGTGTGTCACCTTTGTTAGCGCCTGGATCCAGTCGCGCTGCGTTTCCTGTGTTTCAGCGCCGACAATCAGCGCTCGCTCCGTCTGCAGGTACAGCTCCACGGTGAACACAGCCCTGCCGGAAGAGCTCGCGATTAGATAGCTGGGAATGGAAAATGTCCTCTCGAACACATCGAAGGAAGGACGAGGCATTAAGAAAAAATGAGGAAAAAATTACAGATGCATGATGTATAACAGGTTTATTGCTTTCCACTAGGATCAATGCTTCCTGTAAACGCTCACACTTAGAATGCCCATTACGACCAGAGATCTGGAGCAACTGGGAGTTCAAGTCCTTGCTCAAGGCTGCCTCGGAGACGGTAATGAGAGACGGGTGAAGAGGTGCTGTTTTACCCTCCACACCCAGATTTATTCTGTTCTAGCCTCACCGACCACCTTTTAGTTAGTATCCAAACTCTTAAACAGGACACTCCCCGTTAACGCTGGTTTCTGCAGCAGGAAAAGGGTCATTTTTATGTTTCAAGTAAACCAGGCATGACCCCGAAAGCAGATCATTATCTGGTAGTCGTTATTAAAGTTATTGGAAGTCGGCTAATTAGTCAAACGTGCGTGCTGAGGGAGTTTCACTCCACCGATTCTGCGGAAAACCGACTGAGCAGCCATTTTTAATTACTGAAAGTTGTCGAAACAAGTGGTAGATGAGAAGCACAACACCTGTTAAATGGGAACAAAATGTTGTTATTAGTAGTTTTTCTTTTCACTCAGCAATTAATTTGATTGTATCGCAGAGTTCGGCGGCGGTTATTAGCTGTAGTGGAAAAACTTAAAGCTAACTGTGGACAAAAAAAACCTCTGTCCAATCCTGGTCCTCGAGGGCCGCAATCCAGCATGTTGTAGATGTTTCCCTTCTTCCAACACATCTGATTCAAATGATCAGCTCAGCATCAAGCTCTGACAATGATCCTGATCATGTGAATCAGGTGTGTTGGAAGAAGGGAAACATCTAAAACATGCAGGACTGTGGCCCTCGAGGACCAGGATTGGACACCCCAGCTCTAAACCCTCTATTAATGACTGACGCAGAGGTTTTCAAACTGGGGGACGGTCAGTGAATGGAAACAATATAATAGTTATGACGTATCAAAAGGAGACCACATGGAATAAATATGTAAAGGAATTTAACGTTTTTCATTCCCTTTTTTCTTAAACTTCTGTCTGAGGAGAAGCCGACAGCCTCAGGCTTTGAAACCCCCCTGGGCTAATATATATATATATATATATATATATATAGGAGTTCAGCTGGAATAAAGTTGAGAGACGAGTTGAGTTTAAATTACTGCGGTTGTTCAACATAAACCTTTTATGAATATTCGGGTGTATTACCTTTTAGACTCGTCCATATTTGTTGCTCCCACACTTCAAGAATTTTACATTTCCGAATAAAAAAAAAAGACTTTCCAAGTTGCAATGACAACTTGCATGTTAATTAAAACAGTGGTAGGTTTAACAAATCCATGAAAGCGTTGCATTTTTCATTAGACGAGTGCATAAAATCTGCTTCTTTGCATCAAGATCAACTGTCTAGCAGTGGAGCAACTTATGCAAGATTTCTTTCTTTGTTGTTTTTTCATCGAAATACACCTTCAGATATTCAAAATGAGACTTTAACAATGTGTTTCAGTCATTCAGGTGCATTCACTTGTAAGGATGTGAAGATGAAAGCGCACATGAAGTGGCACCAAACATCCGATAGTTCAAAAAAAAAATCCAGAGCATGCATGCACTTGTACGCTCATTCATCCCGGCACGGACAGTGTGAAAGAGGCAAAAACCCTCGCTGTCGGAAGCAAAGAGGCAGCTATTAATCTTTGTTGGTCTTTCTTGTCCTGTTGTCCCCCCCCCTCTCCTCGCCAACACCTCTCCCTCACTGAAGGTATGCAGGTCAGAGTATCGCTGCCTTAATGGTCTGCACACGCCGCCGAGCTGCTGGGAACGCTACAGCGAGGGCGGCTCTAAATGCTACAGCGCTGGGTGTTTAAGTCGGCGTGGAAGCAGGCGAGACATGGGTGTTTGTGCGCCCTGGCGTGACCCCCTGTCCTCGCCTTTCTCTGGGCCGGCAGGTGTGCGGGAGCTTGTTAGGGTGGTGGGTGTCCCAGAGGGAGAGCGAGGCAGAGAACGGCAGGAGGAGGAGGCGGGTGCGTCGGAAATGCTGCCGTAAAGAAAGGACGGGAGGGGATGAGAGTCCCGGAGGGAGGGAGTGGATGGGGGAGACAGAACACAGGCTGGAGAGGAAGAGCAAAGAGAGGCGTTGAAATAATGACAAGCCGAGATAAGAGACACAATATAAAGGCCGCCGTCTTGTACTGCATATGGCTCCTGTTTGAAACGGGATGCACTGCACAGCTCATGGATGAGATGCTGATGCTCTTGTATTATTTTAAACAGCACTGTGCCGTTCAACTTAAAGCTCTTTTAAAAAGTTTACCTGCACGAAAACCTGCCTGAACTCAATGTACAGACCAGATTTAACCTCGTACTGTAATTTTTTTTTTTTTTTTTGAGTTATTTTTTTGGCCTTTGTGCCTTTATTTGATGGTAAAGTGAGAGAGCGACAGGAAAGTGGGGGAGAAGAATGAGGGGAGGACATATGGGAAAGGGCCATGAGCGGGATTCGAACTCACGACCCCCACATCGGGACTGCAGCCCCGTACGCAGGACACCGGCTCAACCAGGTGAGCCACAGCGGCGCCCCCTCGTACTGTAATACT